AAAAAAAAAAAAAAAAAAAAAAAAAAAAAAAAAAAAAAAAAAAAAAAAAAAAAAAAAACGATAGGAATACGTGTGATTTCTACTAACATATATTATATATTGGTGTATTAATATACACACATCTATACACATCTTGTTTTGTACATAGTTTTTTTGTTATACTATTGTACATGTAGGTTCACTTTTTTTTTGCTCTTCAATATATCAATCAAAATTATCCACTTCTCAATCCTTGAGTCATGCCCATCTCCATCAAGGCCCTCTTTAATCGTATTGTTGCAGTAAGGTGGCATATAATGAAATTGGGCAATGTTATGTTTCAGTGTTTCGTTAATTCTTGACTGTCATCATTTTTGTTTAAACATTTAATTATTGATTTATGTATGAAAAAACACCGGGTTATTTTCACAATTAGAAGCTTGTCATGAGCTGCAACAACGACGACAATGGTAAAATCATCCTGGTATGTGTGCTTGTGCGTGTGTGTGTGCGAGTGTTTGATTTTTAAAGGATCAAGAAACAAAAGAAGCCGGCATCAATGTATTGGGGACTTTGACTCGAAGCAAAAGCTCGTGTTATAGTCAGACATGAAAATACTATAAATGCAGCAGGACTTGTGCGACAATAGCAGCAGTCAGTCCACCAGACGAGTTGTCAATACATAATATGTGGCGTGTACTTATTATTAATTGTGTCAAAGATTATTTCGTTATTTTTAATTCTTCTTCTCTCTAATTTGACTTAATCAATTAATTCCATAAAAAAGTTAGCTCAAAATATTTTCAGCGATACGTTAGATATTTTTAACAACGATAAATGACTTCAATGACTTTGCAAATATTGAGTATTTCCTGACTTTTTTGTGCTTGAAAAAATTTCTTTTTTGCAAATTCAAAGTTTTCACTACAGTTAAGAGAACGAGTAATTATGTAACTTTAATATAAACTGCCTTATTTGCATACTATTGTTATATCTGAAATTTGAACCCTAACACAGTAAATTCAACTGTTTTTATACTAAACTTTTTGTTGAAACGTTCGTAGGTGTTTAACAGCAATCAATTGATGATTAAAATGTTAAAGAACTAAGTTGTAAGTGACCAAACATTTTAAATCATAACAATGGATGGAATATTTTTAAATCCGTGACAAATAACAAACCCTTGAGGGTTTAATTCCAAGACATTTGGATTCATTGTTTTTTGTTCAATGGACATTGATTTAGAAAACGATTCATAATGAAAAATTAATATCTCAAGTAAATTGTGACACATTGTTTTCAAAATTTACTTTCATAATAAACGGTCCACTAAAATAATCAGTCGTGCAATAATAATTGTTTTGTGTCTAATAAAGTGTAGTATTTGTAAATCTTGTGTCAAATATGTACATAATTGGCTTTAACATAAAAATATGCATGCAACTATTCGTAAAAAAATAGATAAACAGTTGTATTAAATGTCTTCTGTAAGGAAGTATTTCAATCTTGAAAATGTTTAATCAAAAGTTTATAAATATGAATAAAATAAAAAAAACGTAAATAAATAACTGAGATGGTAATATTTTCCAAGCTGAAGCACATACCAGTCTGATGTCATAGCATTGCACTGTAGTATGATCGGACAATATGCAATGTCCAGTCTGGAAAATTATATTTGGAAGTTTTTATTACTTTAATTTTTTTTGGTCACTTTATAGCGTGTACTTATGCATGCGCCTCAAAAACAAGAAACGACTACCAAGCATTGGAACTTTTTTCTTGCGCGTTACTGTTATAAGTGTGACTAACATACGCCAACTGAATTGCCTTCGATGATAATGATGATAATTGATTCGTTTGATTAAAAAGTTTGGAGCAACAAAGCCACCTATATTGATGGTCTTGGAGTGCTCCGAGTAGTTTTTTATTTTTATTGAAAAAATATAATAATTGGAGTTGTGCGTCAAGATCGTAATGTCAATTGAAAAAAAAAAGTTAATAAAACAATAGAATGAAATTTCTTGACTCATCTCAACAAGCATTTCAACGAAATTAATAATCGTCTTCCTTTTTTCTGTTTCTTCAACGATCTAGTTGTTCAGGATAAAACCTCTGCCAGTGTTAGTAAGTACTACCACTTGATCTGGTGTGATTGGACTGCTGTAGTTAGAAGGCTATGCGTTTTCTCTTTATCCTTGTTTTCCTTGTAAAAATTTACTAACTCATTTGAGCCTTTTTTCTGGTTTGCAAAAACATTTTTCGTTTTATGTCACACAATGAATATTGATTGACGAATCGGGTCATCAATCAATCAACCAATAAATCAATCAATCACTATGTACAGAAAATTTTGCCGAAATCATTTTGTAAAAGCGAAAATCCGCTTTACTCACTTATTATATTACATATATGTAATATAGGTCCCGTATCCCTTTGTTTTCTCACTTTCACGTCCCACGGACTTCAACTCTCACTGTTTCGACATTTACGTATATCTTCACAATGTAACCTGTCTTTTAATATATTTAATATTAATAAATCAATTTTTTTTTTTTTTGTTATCATTTATTAATTGTGGCTTGCACCATAAGCTTTCGTATTTTGACAGCAGCTTGCAATCAAATGCGTTGTTCTTTAAACTTATCACTATGTTGGACTATTATGCTGCAAGTGATTGTCAGTGTAAAATCGTTTTTTTAATGTTATTATTTTGTAGCTTAATTTGTAGGTGTACAAGTGAATGCCAATATATAAATATTCGTTTGTAAACACTTGACAAGTAGTTTTGATCCGCATACATATATACATAAGCCAATGCTATCATCGACATGTTACCGCAGCTCTTCTTCATCTACACAACATTAAACCCACAAGCCTTGATAACTCGTGCTGGTAACATTAGACATTGTGACGTTGACGTCACAAGTACGTAAAAACAAAAGAAACAAACAAAAAATATACACTCACACAAACACATCACAAGGCAATGCATCGACTTCTTGTAAATATGCAACCATCCCTTCGTATCATGAAACACACTGTCTAATGCACACATACACACACACACACATACACATGATTGTACAGTGCCAGGCTTGTTTGCTAAGCGCACATGTAAATGTTGAGAGCCTCTCGTTTAGCGCGTTACCCGCATTAAATTATATATATACATTGTACGTATACACGTATGATATAATACAGCCACGCGCAATAGGGACCGAACTAAAGCCTTGGGCGGAAAATGCTTGCAGATATTCGTGCGGGCGCAGTTCGACTACGACCCGCTCGAGGACGATCTGATACCGTGCGCCCAGGCCGGAATATCGTTTAAGATCGGCGACATCCTGCAGATAATCAGCAAGGACGATCATCATTGGTGGCAGGCGCGCAGGGACCAAGCGGGTGGCTCCGCGGGCCTCATACCCTCGCCCGAGCTCCAGGAGTGGCGGATCACCTGCATGGCCATGGAGAAGAACAAACAGGAGCAAGGTAAAGTCCACCAAGTGGTCTTTTTTTTTTTTTTTTTTTTTTTTTTTTTTTTTTTTTTTTTTTTTTTTTTTTTTTTTTATTTGCCCGGGATTTTTAAAAAATAAAGATTTTTTTTTTTTTTTTTTTTCTCATTGTTGTTGTTGTGTAGTTGTTGTACATTAACATAGATACGACGGTGCGAGTCGTGCTGGGACGCCGATGGGCGTCTCGGTGATGCAGAGAATTTTTCACGAGTACAGGAAAGAGCAAACGTAACACCATCAAACTATTTTAAGGCACGAGGCCATTGTCAGTCGTATATCTGTTCCAGCAGATCGCCCTTGTACGATCTTTAAAAAAAGGAGAAAAAAAAAATCGTTGCACCGTTCAATATTTTAGGTCCGGGTCGTTGACTGATCTTTCATTTATTGTGCTGTATTTACATATAAGTTACCTGTACATAAGCATTTCGTGTTATTCATTTGCAATAGTATTTATACCTGTGTGAAGTTCAATATCCCTTACGTAATTACCTTAATTGTATTAATACATATTATATTCTCGATGTCGTGAATCACATAATACACATAAGCGAATGCTCTTCTTTTTCTCCTCGTCATTTGTCATACTGTGGTGTGTACGTTGTTGAGATATTGTACAATTATTTATTTCTGTTGATATTTATGATCGTCATCGTTGATTGTACATAAATTATGTGTACCCAAGTGTTTGCTGAATGTAGAGTATATATTACAATTTCTCTCCTCGTGTCCTTGGCATGTCTACATACATATATAAATATCTAAATAAATATACTGAATATATATATATACATATACTTGTATCGCATTACAACGGAATCGTGTAATATTTATCCTGACCCGGATATGTTTTCTCAGTCCCCCTCGTCATTAATCGTTTCACCAAACCCTTATGCTTCTTCTTTTCTGTCATTACCTATTTTTCGTCGTTCATACATGCATACTTGTGGAAACATATGTTTACCCGTCAAATTGAACAAAAATGGTAAAATCCGGGATCAGACTTCATTGTCGTGGGACAATTTGCGTCTTATTTTTTTCGCGCATTTTTTAAAGTAGAAAAAAATCCATTCGAAATCAATATGTCAGTCCACCAGACGAGTTGTCAATACATAATATGTGGCGTGTACTTATTATTAATTGTGTCAAAGATTANTTTTTTTTTTTTTTTTTTTTTTTTTTTTTTTTTTTTTTTTTTTTTTTTATTCAGCAATGGCGAATAAACGAGGGCACCAGAACCAGAGTTTTCAACGGCCAGATATCTCTCTCCAAAGTGGGTCAGGTGACGCTCGCAAAGGGACACGAATTTTTATTTGGTGTACGAAAATTGGCTTTGCACGCAGGTTAAATTTGAACCGTTGGCTGACGCGAATTTCATTGCCTCATTTTGGCGAGCTTTCAAAGGAGCTTGAGGAAAATCTGATTTCGACGCTACACGCGGAGGGCGATTTGTTACTATTTTCATAACTTTAATAACTTTACCGTCTCCTTGTCTCGCTTTTTTCAGCAATGTAAATATACAGATACTTTATTGCGTTTTTTTTTTGGTTTTTTGAAAGATGTGTCGACTTCATTAAAAACATCTTATTACATCTCAAGTTGTATTATTTTATGCTCGGCAATGGCTCATGTAGGAACCAATTTTTTATCCATGTACATATATTGTAACATCTTTCTTGCTACAAGTTATCCAAATAGTAATAATATATGTTCACTGAAGTCGCCTTAAAGTGTATTCTTGTTTATTTTTACTTCTCAAGTCCCAAACTTCTGCGTGGCTGATCTCTAATTGTTACACCAAGTAATGCACTGCGCACTCATCAAAACATACCTACACACAAACACACAATTTTCATCCATATAATTATATACACTTACATTTGTCTCACATAATCCTCGAAAACTTTACCTCTACATAAACAAATGGAATCCTACTTCGTTTGAGATAATCCTTCATTACTTGCGTGCATGTGTCTGTATGTGCGTATCATTTGTATGCGTACACTAGATCATACGTATACTATATGATATATACATGCGTACATATACACGCATCTCTAGAACATTGCTTCAATTGTACAATGTACGAAAAGAGTGCATGTTGCAAAACAATTTTCTCCCTTTTCTTAGGATTACGTGTAAGAAGCACGCCTCTGTTCGTTGATTGTCTGTTTCTTGAGTTTAATAGGTATACCTTGACAATACACCGAAACCGCACGGTGATGGACATGATAATTTTACATTTTTTTTTTTCTCTAAATCTTTAGCAAAAACCGAGACGTCCGCGTCGCCCATGCTACCACCTATATTTGTATACGGAAAAATCATCCAAATCGCGAGAGATCGGTATCGAAGAAAAGAAGAAAAAAAAAAAAAAAGAAAAAAAAAAAAATTTGGAAAAGCCTTTTTTAATATTATTCCATCGTGAAACTCGTACGAATTTTTTACACAAATCTGATCAACAACGAAATTATTCATTGAAAACTCATCCAAAGATTTGTTCATCGGCTACACTGTGTTTTTCCATATTATTTAATATAGGTATACACGTAACACAATGAGTTGAATCAGAGTTCGATTGCATCACGCATCATCGCGAAGGTACAGCAATAAAACACACAAGTGTGATTTCTGAATCCTCGTGAAAAAATAATATAACGTAGAAGAAACGCATCCGTGTATGCAGTGGTACACGCAATGCACGTCAATATATAGCCAATACCCATATATACGCGCCAACGAAGCGAGATTGATTGAAAAAGCCCACGGGCCAAACGCTCTCCTCCGACAATTAATACGGGAGGCCACATCTGGTATGCAAATGTCAAGTGTTCTCTTTTTCTCCCTCTCTCTCTCTCTCGTGCACGCAACGTATGCACGAATTATATACGAATACAAGCCGATAAATTCTCTCTCTCTCGGTCCATATGTCAATGGCAGAGCATATAGTCGCGCGTCCGGATTTTACTCTCCCATCAGCCGCTAATGCGAATACAATCGTCCCATCGGTCTCCCGTGTACCACTATAGTGGTACTAATAATTTCGTCGCTTGTATAATATACAGGTACACACCATAAAATGCAAGTGACAATTGAAATTTAAACATATTTGTACCTAATACGTATACATGCATTTTACGTGTACATTTTTGACGATTCATGACAAATTAGAGAGAGAGAGAGAGAAAGTGAATATGCAAGTACAACAATTAAATTAAGTTTCGTAAGTATAGCATGGGAGCTCGGAGGGGCGTGTATATTATATACGCTTCCACTCGCACCGCCGACGCTTGAAATGAGAGTAGCATCTTTGGGGAGGGGACGAGGGTGGATGCGCGCACACACACACACGTAAATCACTCGACGGTGCCTGCAGGCGGCGTTGCTCATCTCTCCCATTGTTGGAAACTGTCTCTGCTCACGGCGTCCTATAATGACGATATTAATAGTCCGCCACTATACGCATGTATATAGATATACGGCACGTATACAATAAATGTAATATTGTACACGGAAGAGCACCGAGAAATGATAATACGGCAGAGGCATAAGCAACCGCGCTATACGTATATACATCGTGGACGTGATAATTTATATCAGGGGCGATGCACGTATATATAGGTGGCAGAGTGTGAGAGGATGAGCCTTTCGGCACTCGTCGTCGCACCACAGGCTACACCATCCGCGCGCGTGTATTGTCTTGTTGTATAACAACGAGTATACGCAAGTACAATATTTCATACCCATTGTGCAATATTATTTATATACCGTGCTTATGTATACGAGTTTACCTTTAAATACCATTTTACGTGAGTTTTGCATGGGTATTTTACTACAGAGAGTTTCTCGCAAGCCGAAACCTATACATTCACTTATAGTAACCATGTTTACGATTGTTGTTTTTTTTTTGTCCTCGAAACTCCAAACCAAAAGACGCGTCCCAAAAAAATAAAACAAAAATAAAAATAGATAAAGTCCCGTCAGGCGCAAATTCGTAACAAATCTCGCGGATGTAGAGTGGTAAAAGTATAGCTCGGCGTGTAACCTTACAGCGTCGCGTCCGGGTAAATCGTAACGGGGCACATACGTATATATATGTACGCGTACCTACATCCACGAGAGTCAGCTTCGAAAGGAGCAGGAAAAAAAAAAAAAAAAGAAAAAAAGTGGAGGAGCACAGAGCGACGGATCGATAGGTCGGGCCCGAGAGGCACCGGCAAAGAGAAAGAGGACTCGCTGTTGCAGGAGGATACACATAGAAAGGAAGATCCCACCAATGTGGATGTAGCGCATATTATACACACACAAAATTATCCATCATACAAACACAGGTACACACACACACACACACACACACACACACACACACACATGTACAAACATATACGGAGAACGCGTGGGCTCGAGGCGGTGGTAGCGGTCTATAATGAGGAAGTGTCCGTAAAAGCGTTTTAGTGGAGTAGGTTACGCAGATAAGTCGCTCGCCGGTGTATATTACTTACTACTGCCGTAAGCGCGGGTATTATGACGCGCCTCGTCCAACACGCCGTGATGGCCCTCCTTTTTTTTTTCCTCCTCTGCACATGAACATGATATAATCGTATTGTGGTAGTTTCATATACGCGTGTGTATATAATATTATGTATACTTGACGCCGTCCACCGTCTAATTTTAGATCGATATACTGCAACGAGCGAGGAAAAAAAGG